ATAAAAGCCTTGGAGGCCCCGCCCCATCTGGCCCTGCCTCCCTCTGCAGCCCCATCCACCTGCCGCTCTTGCAACTCTGGCCTGCTGTCTGGACAAGCACGCGCAGGTTCCTCTATGGAGCACTCTTATCCCCAACTTTTCCCATGCCTGGCTCCTCCTCGTCCATCAGCTTTCAGCTGAGGCCTTCCTTGACCCCCATCTATCTAAAGAGGCTTCTCTTCAACTCATCTCCACTTCCTCAGCATTTGCCACTTCCTGTAATTATTGATTTAACGTGGGGACCTGTCTCCCCACCTAGGACAGAAGCTCCAAAGGGCCGGGACTTTTCTTGTTTTCCACCTTATGATCAGAGCCTGACACAGAACCTGGTACCTAGTGACAGCCCCCCAAAAATCTGTTGGATGAATGAATGAGTAATAAAGGAATGGATATCCCCTGGGAGAACCAACACTATTAAACCCCCCAAAAACCTCGAAATCAGATACAGAATGGGCCCAGCTTTCTTGAAAAACAAAAGTAACACCCTTGCTTTAGTGGAATAAACCCCGAGGGTACCCAGTCTGGGACGTCCCTTCATTCACGCTGTCTTCTCCTACGAATCCCCAGCCGTCTTATTATTGACCACCTTTCTCTCTGGAAATGACCTAGGGCTCCCTGGCTCAGAAAATTGGAACTCGCATTGGAGTTGGGCCCGAGGTCGCAGACTTGCATTTGAGGGACCGGGTGGAGAGGCCCTGACACCCTCTGGATTGGCACTCCTCTGGCCACAAGCCCCATCCTTTGGTTCCTTTGGAACCAAAACAGGAAGAGAACAGAGGCCTCCCAAGGCCTGACACAGTCCCAGGGGTCTAGGTGAAGCCCTACTTCTCCCCAAGACCCTGACACCCGGCCAAGCCCAAGGGATCCAAGGACCCAAGACTGGGAGGAAACAGCAGGAGGGCCGGGGTCAGAGGCAGCAGAAGAACACGGAGTTTGGCAAAAGACACGCCAAATCCCTGCTTTGAAATCAGACAAATGTATGGCTTCAAATCCTGATTCCAACGTCTAGGTTTCTGAAGGCCACAAGGATGCTGTTTAATCTCTCTGAACCTCTGTTTCCACCACTGTCAAGATGGATTTCACAATTTCTACTTTAAGATGACTGCTGGGCATTTTGCCCCCAGATATCACGTCTGGCTGTATCCACCCACCCTTCAATCCCCCAGGATGAGCCTGTTATTCATATGGGAAAAATAAAACCAGATATCAACATACTCAGTGACTTGCCCCCAAAATCTGGATTTACCAGACTGTTTTGATGCTGAGCCATACAAACTCATCTACATCCACCTAACTCTGTTAAGTAACAAGGCCAAGCTGATTCCTGAATTTAGCTTATGCATGTACATAGCAGGCATTCAATGTATATTTTCCAATGAATGAGTCATACAGCAAAAAGGGTTGTGTCTATATTGATCCTACTAATGAACTAAAATCTCTTTTTTCACAACCAGTGCCTATTGCCAGGCACTAATCTGCCATATGCATTGATAGTGCAGACATGTGGCAGAAAACAGATTTAAATCATTATAAGGCTAAAGACTTTGACGCTTGAGTTCCCTTCTGATGTAGGCCACCAGGTAAATGAGCAATTGGGAAGTTAAATCTCCTTATTTCTTTTGGAGATTATCTGTCAGTTCCCCCAGGGTTTATACTTTCAGTAACCAAAGGGACTTTTCAAAATAGAACAACTCCCCAGCAATAAATAAATAAATAAAAATTAAAAATTAAACAATCTTCATTCATGACAGTATGTGAACTGTCACCAAATTTTGCAAGGATATTTAGCAAAAGCATTCCTCTTTTAGTCTTGCTCCATGAATACTGAACAAGGAAAAACATTGCCTAAGACTGAGATTTGGCAAAATAATCTAATGAAACCCATCAGTTATGTGCCACCAGCATGGCTTCCCTGAAGGTTCCTGGTGACTGTATGATTATCTAGCTTGGTACTGTCCTACCTCAGGCTTCACGTGCAAAACACAGTTTCCTGCAGCTCACACATGTTCATCCACCAAAGCAGCAGTATCTGGGGCAAGAAAGGACTCTAACTCCCATCCCGTGCAGGTATCCTTTAGCCTAAGAAAACACATCTGCTAAAATGAACTCACTGACAGGAAAACTAAGAGCCAGCTATTCCATTTGCAAAAGAATTACCCAAGGGTATCTTTAAAATGCCTTTACAATGGATTTAAGAAACTGTGACTGGCACGCAATTTGGCAAGTACCCTTGATTAGGAAGAGAGCAGGATGCCGTGCTTACAAAACTCAGCACACTTGCAAAGAGCATGGGTCTAAGCTCAGAAGGTCTGAGTCCTAGTCTCATCAGAGTGACTAATGAGCTGTGTGACAGAGGCAAGTCATTAATGTCTTTGGCTATAGTTTCCTCACCCAGAGATGGAGAATCATTAATAAAAGCAAGCATTATCTACATCCCAGGGTTAGTAGGGAAATCAAATGAATGGGAAAGCTGTTAGAAAATACGAAGGCACATCCAGAAGTCAGGGAACTCTTCTGTCATACGCGTACATGTATGGAAATAGAGCCACCGGAAAACTACCTGCATCCACTCTTGCTCATACTAAATGTATTTCCTCTTGCTAATAAAGAGAACAACTGGAATGTAAAAGATTTCTGTGAATCAGGATGAATTCTCTCTTAGAGGATGACTACTGCTCTCACTGAGGACATGAGATCTGCTCTGTGACAGCTTTTGGTACCCTAGGACAATCACACAGGCAAATGCACCCAGCCAAGCTCTCCCAGAGATCAGGCCCTAAGCCTATTATTTCACGTTTACCAGACACTAACAATATGCTAGAAGTATCCAGAATACTGAATCCATTGTGACCAGGCAAACGGAACCACCAAGCCACAGGACAACACATGTGGTCAAGTTTAGAATGTGATGGGGGTGTAGGTCACCTTCCCAGTCCCTTACGGCTGCTCCCTTCGACACCCTATTGGGTTTGGGTAAGCTTTTCGTGCACTGTCACCTGAAGACAGCAGTTCGATGTATCCAACAAATCATCATCCCTCTAGGAAACCCATAGAAGAAAAAACAGGACAAGCCCTAACGACCATGCTGGACAAGCTTATTAGCGCTCTTCCTCTGAGTGCCCCCGGCTTCCCTGTGTCCAGGTGCTGCAAAGTGGAGCTGCCGGAGGCCGGCTGTCTGCTCACTCTCCCAGTTCCTACCCTTCACATTCCTGTCCTAGAAGCTGAGTAAGCCCCTCAAACCCTGGCAGAAAGACCAGCATAGGGTTGAATAACTGTAGGGATGTTCAGAACAATCGAAGGATAAAAAGCACCTGGAAAGCTCTGCATGCATTCACCGGCCTTGCAAAAAAAGCTGGTGCAGGGGGAGGGGCTTTAAAGGGAAACCCAGAGGGACAGCTGATTGTCCAACACCTAATACAATGGTTCATAAACCTGAGTGTGCATCAGAACCACCTGGAGGGTTTGTTAAACACAGAAACCCAGCATGTCTGAGTCAGTAGCTGATACTGCTGGTCCAGAGAACCACACTTGAAAAACCACTGACACAGTAAATCGGTGAGGGCTGCCCAGTCTGTCATTCCCACAGGGGCAACTTCTGATCCTGATGCAACCCCCATCTCCCAAATTGAGCCTTAAGAAAACTCATAATAGGAATTAAACAGTTCTGTCCCCCGACCCTCCGCTCTGGATTAAGAGAACAACTATCAAGCCATTCCTAACAAATCTCCCAGGGCTGAGTCCAGCTCTCACCTGTGCACAAGATGATTTTGCAGAAGGCGTGAGTTAGAGTGCAAAACAGCAGTGCAGGAAGAGCACTCGAAGGCTCCCCGGCCCAGTTCTCTGACAACAGCATGCCACTGGGACGGTGCCAGGGAAACGTTGTGACCTGCTTCTCTCCTCACTTATTTGTCCCGATCTGCCACAATGCACTGTGATTTCCCACAGAGACCTCACCTCATGTCATCCAGCAACTCAGTGCAAAGGAAAGCAGCAAGTAGCCACAAACACTGCACCTCTGGAGGGTGGCAGGGCACAATCCCTCGAGACCAGGATCAGAGGATTTCTGACCTGGAAGGGACCGTTGAGAATACTTCTGTCCTTCCCAAAGCTGATTACATTACACAGCACACAACTTTAGTAGCAGCAGGAGTTACTGCCACAGCAATATTGTTTTGATTTATGGGGGGGCAGAGAGGAGGGGGATGGAAGTTCCTACAGAGAGCACTATTATGAATAATGTAAACACTTGATGATAACAGCCTATCCAGGTCTCTTCTCCTTTGGTTCAAATGGGAAAATCTAGCCAATATTCACACACACTTCAGCTTGGCCTTTTCTGGCTATGGAACAGGAGAGGTTACACAAATTTGGGGCTGCACCTGTGGGACCGAAAACCAACTGCAAATTAAATACGGTGAAAGAATGAAGTGTGATTCATTCACAGTATTTTTGGTAAATATAGACAGTATGTGTTTGCAAATACCTGCTCTTTAAGATGATTTTGTGCACAAGAATAGGCATATTTGATGAAACAAATGTGTTTTCCCCTCCCATCAATAAAAAAAAAAATCCAATTAGCTCTTTCTCACATGCAGAACTGTGTACCAGTTCCCAGGTCCTGAGTGCCTGATTTGGGATAAACCCTGTGAAGTCTTGTGAGTCAAATAACATTCTCCAAAGCAGTAACACGAACACAACCTCCACTGACCCCAAAATTACGAGTCCATCTCAGGTATACCACACTCAAGACACAGGCCATGAGCCAAGACAGCAGTATTCAGAAAATTCTGGAGCAGGAGAGCCTAGCCTCAGGGGACAATATTGGCTGAAGCTCAAGAACGCTTATTAAACACTCTTGCCCCCTCCCTACCTCCAAAAGAGTCCATTCATTTGCATGCACAGATGAGGCCATGAAAAGCGCTGCCTTCACACCCAACACCCCTGGTGGCTCCAGTCCTCACCTATTTTCCAGGAGCGTCATGCACACCACCTCACGCACCCCCGGGTTGTTGGCCTTCTCCACTGAGCAGCCCTGCAAGTTCCAGGTGGCCAGCCTCAGCACGGGGCGCCCATCTCTGGTGCCTCCAAAGGCCTCCACCGACGGCCTAGTGGAGATAATCTGCGTGGGCCCCCCTGGCGGCAGGTCCAGGTCCTCGCTCTGCAGGCTCAGCGAGGTGGGGCTGGGGTGAGGCTTGGCAGTGAACATCAGGCCCCCGTTGGTGTGGGTGGACGGGGGCCTGGACCGCTCTGCAAACACCTGGTGCCGTATCCTGTCCAGGAAGGCAGCACTGATACCATCCATCCTCACCAGGTCCTCCACGCTGCGAAAGGGACCATGCTCCCGGCGGTAGTCCACGATGCCGAGGGCCATCTTCTCGGTGAGGCCGCGCACGCTCAAGAGCTGAGCCGGCGTGGCAGTGTTGATGTTGACACGTGGGGTGAGGGGTACGGTGGCCAGGTGGTGAGGCTGCTGCTCCACCAGCAGGTCCCGCCGCAGGGAGCTGGGAGAGTGCTGTGCAGAGTTGCCCTTGCTGCTCACGCAGATCTCAAACTTGACCTGCTCCAGCTTCGTGGCGCCCACGCCACTGACCAGCGCGAGGTCCTCCACCTTCTTGAAGCCCCCGATGTACTCTCGGTACTCCACGATGCTGCGTGCCACAGCACGCGTCACCCCAGGCAGGGTCATCAGCTCCTCCTCCGTGGCAGTGTTGATGTTGAGCCGCTCCTGATTCACCAGGATGTTGCTGAAGTTGCAGGCTGCGCTGAACTTTCGGCTGTGGGACAGGTCCGAGGGGTCCCTGGGGATGGAGCGGTGGCAGCCCAGGGTGCTCCCCATGGCCGGCCAGGATCGGGGGCAGGAGGGCCTCACCACGGCAGGAGAGCTCTCCAGCTAGGGAGGAAGTCCCGGAGACCTGACAAGCACAAAATAACGGAAGGTGCAGGATTTAGGAGCTGAAGCCGTTGCCACAGCCAAACACCAAGTCTTCCATGCTCAGAGTGTCCCAAATTACCTGTCACTTGGCCACCTAGAAAAGAAATGGACAAATCGATTGAGTTAATCAATTTGCATTCGCACTTCCTACCTAGTGCTGTAGTTCGTGACCAGGAGTCTGGGGCTGGTGGCCTCCCGTGAACCCCTGAAAACGCAGACTCAGTGAGGCTGGCCCAGGGGGTTTTCCAACGAGGAGACCCGGTTTTCATCACACCGGGGTCCAAAAAGGCTACGAGGCGCGTCGCCTGGGAAGATAATGAACCCCATCAGCCTCCCGACGCTCCTCCCGGCCTCTCCCAACGCCGGTAGCTCTGGGGGCATCTCCCCACTTCAGTCACCCCACCCGGGCTCGAGCGGACGGAGAGGGCGTCCCGTCCAGCCCCGCTCCACGCCTGACACCCAGCACCACCTGCGACCTGGGCGCCGCCGGCCCCCAGCCCCACCTCTCGGCCGGCCTGTCCCTCTTCCACCCGCGGCTCCGAAGCCTGAGCCCAGCCCGGACAGCGAGGGCCCCTGCCTCGGGCCCGGCA